CCCTGAGGCTGAGGCAGGAGAATTCAAGTTCAAGACCAGCCTGATGGAGTGATTCTGTCTCAAAAACAAAGAAAGAAACAGAACCAACCAACCAACCAACCAACCAACCAACCAACCAACTAACCAACCAACGAACAAGCTGACTGAGCTCTTATACACAGACACTCTCAGGTGTCCATCAAAGTCAAGGCTTTGCTGCATGAGGGGCAAATGTCTTTGTATGGAGGAAACCAGATTCCACTGCTTAGATTCTCATTGCTGATGACATCTGATGTGTCCATTCAAGGGAACTCGGTCACATCGACTTCAGTTCCTTTGGAGAAAATATTCCAGTAGCTCAGAATCTTTCCTTGACATACCTTAGAGTCAGCTCCTCCAGACCCGAGTTCTCCAGTGGGAGCCTGGGTTGAAGGAGCCTAGGTCCTGCCCTCAAATCAGAACCAGAAAGAGGACAGGACACGTTCCCGCCCATTACTGTCAGGCCTCAGTTGCATTTACATGGACTCTTCCACTGCTAAGCAATTGAATCCAGCTAACAGCTGCCACCCCCTTCTTTTCTTTTTCATTGTCTTTTTCTTTCTTCCATTCTGGTTTTGGTTTTAAGAGAGGGTCTCAGGTGTCCTTAACTCTACATGGAGCCAGAGATGACCTTGAACTTCTGAACCTCCTGCCCCTATTTCCCATACAACGGCATTATAGATGTGTATGCCCACAACTGGCAACACATACAAAACCACATCACACACACACACATATACACACAGAGAACACACACACATTATATACATGCCCCATACACATCACATACACAAAACACACAGAACACACATATATCATACATCCATACCATATATATCACACACACAATTACACTACAAACACATCTCACACCACACACCCCATGCTCATCACATACACATACACACACTACACATACACACTACAAACATACATATAAAGAACACACATACCACATACAAACCCTACAAACATCACATGCACATATATACACATTCCACACCACAATACATATGCAAAATATACCTATCACATACATACATACAAAACACACACCCTATACACATTACACAGGCACACATACATACCACATACATCACACACACACACACACACCATACACATATTCCTCCCACAACACCTCCACCCCCACCACCAAGCACAACCCACCACACACACACACACACACACACACACACACACACCTTGTTTCAGTATTGAGGCTAGAACACAGGGTCTTACACAGAATAAAAAAGCCCTTTGCCACTAAGCTACACTGCAGCAGCCCCCTTCTCAAAAGGGGGATTTTCGCTTCTCTCTTATTTTCCCAGTCTCCTGCAGACACAACTCGTCCTGGTCTCAGTGTCTAAGCTCTTGTGTCTTTGGGAATTCTCCCTCAGACTGTGGCTTATGAGATAAGCTGTACTCTAGGCATAGCTTTCAGCTTTGGTTCTTGATCTGCTGAGCTTTGGGAAGGGAAAATACTCACCGTAACGGACAAAGGGTTGAAGCTGATGGCAGAGAATCTCATTACGTTGCTACATTTCATCATCATTATCCTGACTGGTGACACTTCAGGATGCAGCCTAAGGCCTTGAGCATCCTGCCGGGCATGCTTGCCGTCGCTTTTTATTATTATTGCTAGAGAACCTGGGCTGTAACCAAGCTGCACCTGGAGGGAAAGGATGGCACAAGGTGAACGTAAGCTCTGAGTTAGACTCGGTTCAAAATGGCTTTGTCTGCTTTCATCCAGCTGTGCAACCTCAGAGAATCATGGCTTGGAACACCTGTTCTGACAGGAAATAGAATTCAATTCCCGACTCTCATCAACTTAGTAAGGTTAAGGTCAAGTCTTCTTTTAAAAGGACGTTGGTTTATATATTTAACTAGTATGTTAAATTTGTTAATTTTTTTTACATCATTTGATTCTTATTTTTGGAAGGTTAAGACAATGGATTATTTCCTTCATTTCTCATTTTTATATCATAAATTGTTATTAGTTTAAAAGCCTTTATTTTTTTTAATTTTTGAGAGTATAATTACATCATTTCTTCCTTCCCCTTTCCCCTCCCACCCTTCACACACCTCTCCTTGCTCCTTGTTCTCTTTCAAATTCATGGACTTTAAAAATAAACATTTATTCTTTGTGAATTTCACATCACCCCAATCCCATTCATCTCCCTGCCCCTCCACATCCTCTCTCCACCCTTGCAACCTCCCCACCAAAAGAAAACAAACAAAAAACATTCTCACCACGGAAGCTGCAGTGTACTCTTTTGTCCACACAGCTTTACTTGCAAAGAACTGTTCATCTCAGTGAGTCATTGGTTCTGGGTCTGGCTTCTGCTACACTTCGAATACAGGATCCTCACTGAGACTCTTCTCAGATGTCCTGTTGTAGCCCTGTGTTGTGGTGATCCTGTGGCTGTGGTTCTAGAGGACCAGTCCCCTCACACACTCCAGCAGATCAGAGCTGGGGTAGATATTGGGGTGGAATAACTCAAGTTCCTGGATCTGAGCCTGGGGGGAAGTTAAACTGGTCAGCCCTCCAGCTCTGCCATGGTCAACACCATCCAGGGTCAGCTCTCCTGTGCTGCCCAGGCATAGGGCCACCTCTTCTGAGCCCATGGCCTCTTTTTTCATTGTTGTTACTACATGCAATTCAATGTGTTATTATTCAGTGTATGTTATCATATGCACATATGTATATGTGTATCACATACATTCTAAAATACAACCTTGCTCGGTCTGTATAATGTTACATGTATGTATGTTTTCAGGGCTGACAATTTGGTATGGGATAACCAGTTGATGTGCGTCTGCCTGGGGAAGACTATTTTTCCTACTCCCAGCATTCCTTAGGTACCTGAGGAGAAGTTTTCTTAAAAAAAAACATTTATTTTATATGTGTATGTGTGTGTGCCTGAGTGTGTACCACATGTGTACAGGAGTTCACAGAGGTTAGAAGGAGGCCTTGCCACCCTGGACCTGGAGTTAAAGAGATTGTTACAAGACACCATGTTGTTGCTGGACCTGGACCTGGGCCTTCTGTAAGAGCTGTAAGTGTTCTTAACCTCTCAGCATCTCTCTATGCCCCTAACGTAAACTCTTACTTGGATTAACTGTGTGGTATTAGAAACACTGTGTAGGAGAATCTCATGAGAGAATTCACTTAGAACGTTTGGCACTGTGCTTAGATGACAAGCATCCTTGGACAGCCTTGAGGAAATGGGTCAGGAATCTTGATTCTTCTTCATCATTTATCATGTGACAGTTCTCCCAGTGAAAGGTGAGACACAAAACACAAGCTGTTCCATCTCAGGGGACAACTGTACAGGGCCTCTGAGTGTCTTCCAGGTGGGGCAGAGACTGGAGGAATGAAGCCAGGCTGTCTAAATGGAGGATGGTATTGAATGCAATTCTGAATGGGATAGGTGTGGAGAGTCTACTAACTGGCTGGAGGCGGAGGTGCACACAGTAAAGCCAGAATGGTCACGCTTTCTTGGAAAAACTAGTGTTTTCGTATTAAGACTCTAACAAGCAGAAACTGCAGAGACAAACCCAGAAGCAGGTTGTGTACTGAAGTGAGTGAGGCTTGTAGCCAGAGCACCAGCTCTTTCCCATCGAGCTCACCTACACCGAGAGTGTGTGTTGGTTCTAACAGCAGCAGGACAGTCCCTTAACTAAGCCAGTTATGGCCCTGGCTCGCCCTGGCCAATGACTAGTGTGGGAGCTTGATCCTGTCGGCCACAGAGAAACGAGGATGGATATGGAGATGGTTCTGAGAAACAGTTCTTACCCACAGAAGCCACTGCTGAGAGAAGGGGCTCCCTGTGGCTCTTGCCACCTAACCTCATGCTAGAACACTGGAGGTCTGCCAACATGACTGCATCACCCAAGCTACAGATGGAAGGCAGGCCCTTCTCATACCATTACCTCAGCCAACCTGTCTTCCTCCTGCAGAATGCTTTTCCCCTGCATTCACAAGTGTTCCCTGCTTGGGTAAGCTCCAGGGCACAGGAATCTCTCCTCAGCTTACTTCTCTGCCTGTGGATCTCAAGATCACTGCTGGGGTAGGGGTGGGGTTCCAGCAAGAGCTCCACTTGCTTGGTGGCTGGGAAGCCATTATGATCTGAGCACGAGGCAATTGGATGTCCACATCAGGACCTTTGAGGACATTATCCCCCAAGCTAACCTGACTCTATCACCATTCGGGGGTTCTTGTGATTATAGTCCCAGCGCACAATTAATTTTAGATCTTTCCATTCATATATTCCCTCACCAACTTGACTTCCAGGCCGTAGCATACTATACCCACCCTTCTACTAGAAACCCGGTCATCCTGGCTCGTCTGTCCTCATGAGGACGGCATCATTCAAAATACTCATCACCTCTCCCCAAGACAGACACCACACCACCACCACAGGAATCCTTTATATTCCCACCCAGAAATTTTGCTCAGGAACAGTCATGTGACTTTCTCTGACCACTAAAATGTAGTAGAAATGACTGGCACTTGGGAGTAGAGACTTCAGGGACAGTTGTGGCTCTGGGTCTTTCTCCCTTCTGTAAGGACACAGCAGTAGGACAGCATTGAGGAGAGCTGCAGCTATGGTGGGCAGGGACATGACAGGATTGGTGTGCTTATCCTAAGTAAGTGATGGGCTTGAGCAGGCCCTCAGCAGGAGACCCTGCATCCCCACACTGCACAGTCTTCCGTCCTCAGATGGAACCTGGAGCTGGAACACGAGGCCAAGGGAATACACCTGCTTGTCTGTTCCTGTCTTGGAAGCTTCGGTCTGCACTGGACTCTGCTCTCTGGCCGTGCCTGGGTGTTGGGTGCACGCTTTACTCTCCTACAGACAGGCCTTGGCTTGGATGATGTCACTCCAGGACCTCTCACTGCACAGTGAAGTCAAAGCTCAGTCAAGGGTGAGGAACTGTTTCATTCTGAATGGTCACATTGCCTGAAGTACACATGATCATATAAAATTACTTTTATTAAAATAGAAAGCTTTCTAGTATACTGCTGTATACTATATATAGAATATACATACAATATAGTCTAGTATGTTGAAAACATTTAGACAGAAATAGGCAACTGTGACAGAGGTACATCAATATCAGCACTGAGATCCTCTGAAAGCATTAAGTGCCTACTTTTCAACAACATTTTGGTATAATAAGCATATTGCTATATTTCAGAGGGTATATATAACACTGAAAAATACTTCATGTAAAATCTAAGTTCAGGTGCATACAAACAGGAAGTATTACATTAAGAGCTTATTTCAAACTGTAAAACATTCAAAGTATCCAATTTCTTAGACAACATGCAAACATTTTAATATTTAGCTTGACATTTTAAATATATAAACCACATTCTTTATAATGCTATATAAAAGGAAAGTCAGACACACACTTATCCACACTGTGCACATTACAAAAGCAGATGTGTCTTCATGAACGGAAAAGTACGGGACTAACACACATGATTGTCATTTTACAAATATGGCTATTCACCTTCATAATAAAGTTAAAATCATGTACTATTTACATGAACTACTAATTATCTTACTTTTTGGCAATTACATAGTAGCAGCAATTGGTTTAAAGTCTGATCTTTAAACCTGTGAACTTGGTGAGTACTGACGAGTGTATCTGGCTAACACAAAGTGGCATGACCCAGATGCCTGGATGCTGTGGGGCCACTCCCATTCACAGACACAAATGGCAACTACTAAGAGGGCCACTTGTCAGACAGGCACATGAGTGTCACTTGGTCGTCTTGCTTTTGCTAAGCACAGAGTCCTGCCTTAAATTTCTGTGGAGTCAGCCTGATGAGCTAATGATAATTTTAACAGATTTTCTCTCCTTCCACTCTGTCACGGCAGTGGCTTTTCACTGAGCCCTCAGTTTCTAGACACACAAACAAGCACACGTCAGCGCAGCATCGGCACTAACAGGAACTGAGGAGACTAGGGCACGAACCCGACGACAAAAGGGGCTCCTCCTATAAAGTGACCATGTCATTGGTTAGTGATGGTAAATTTGCTTTGGGGAAGGGGAGCCATCTACTGAGCAAATGTAAACTGGCCAGTGATCCACCAGTAAGAGGCATCGTCTTCCATTATATTGGGAGAGTCTAACTTACCATTTTAAAAACCAAGGCAAACCCCCTAATATAGGCAGATTAAAAAAATACTGTGTGGTGCTAAGAGGTGACATGCTTTCGGTTGGTCACCAGCTAGCAGTCCTGAATGTCTTTCACAAGGTGGGATGGCTGGGTCGAGGAAGGCTTTGCAGTTTTGTGGGTGGTCAGGGACACGTCCGGAGCAAGTGCATGGCGAGGCCCAGGCTGAGGAAGAGGAGCAAGGAGTGGACAGGAGGCCCGCTTACCACAGCGGACGACGGGAGACGGCTGGAGACCTGCGCTTGGGAAATGATGAGTGCGGAGAGCGGGACGTGGGACGCCAGCGTGGGGCTGTCGGAGTTGATGAGGGACTCGATTTTCTCTGCCTCCTTATTGCAGGCCTCAATCTGCAAAGGAAAAGATCCTTTCAATATAAAACCTCAGAACCTCGAACAGGGCCAGGCAACAAGTTCCTGGCCCATGTCAGAGAATGGCCACAGAGGCACTCTGCTTCCCTCTGCCCTTATTGTTGCAGTCAGTTACTGGTAACTATGGTCTTGACTGATTACACACATACAAGTGCATTAATGGAAATTAGAAACTGCAACGTCACTGCGCTCGTCAGTCAGCCATTTTGGCTTTGCACTATAGCATACCACACACCGCCTATCTACCAGACACAGCCACAGGAGACGCTTTTACTTCTGCTTTAAATGTGAGGACACAAACAGGCTTGGACGGAGGCAGCTGGAACTGCTTCCATTCACCCACCCTTGAGTCCTCGATACTTTCAGATGAAACCTGGGCCTACACCAGTGAGGTTCCATGGCCTCCTGATCCACCAGTAAAGAAGAAAACTTGGGCCCTTGAAACTGTCTCTGATGGACCCTCCTCCAGAGATACCGGAGGCTTTGGCTTGGTCACTGCATGCCCCCTGCCAGTGCCCTACTCTTCAGGCCTTGGTGGCCTCATCTGCACAATGGTGAGACTTAGTGTGCCCAGACTCCAGACATTCAGAGGCTGGCTTGCCCTTTCCCCCTGCCCTCTCCAACTTCCGAGGTGCTCCTACTTCCTTACCCCGTAGTCTCCTGTCCACTGTAAGTCCGCCAAACTCTACACTGGCAAGATGGCTGCACAGTGTGCCGACTCTCACCTGCAAAGCTTTTGGATAATGGTCCACAGGAATAATCAGGATCACAATTTCTGATTCGATGCTCAAGTATCCAAACACGTCACACTGTGGCACAGACACGTGCATGCGGATCTTCTGAAGAATCTCCAGAACTGTTATTGGCTTCTTGTTTGTCACCTGGAAGACATTCCAGGGCCTGGAATGGATCTCTGCTGCCTAGGCTACTCTATCTTAAGTAGAGTAGAGGTACTTATTTTTTTTTTTGGAGCGGGGCCTTGCTATGTAGACCAAGCTAGCTTTAAATTCATGATCCTAGCTCGAAAGTGCTGTTTATTTATTTAGGTTCTTTTTGTGTTTGAAATAGGGTCCCAGGTAACCAAGGATGGTCTTGAACTTTTTCGTCTTTTTTTTTTTTTAAAGATTTGTTCCTTTTCTGTACATGAGTGCACTGTAGCTGCCTCCCGACATAGTAGAAGAGGGCATTAGATCCCATTACAGATGGCTGTGAGCCACCATGTGGTTGCTGGGAATTGAACTGAGGACCTCAGGAAG